CCCCAAAATTGCTGCTCTGCCTTTGGTCAGACCCCAAAAACTTGGGGCAAAGTTTACCAAGAAAGTAAACGGCCAAAAGTTAGGTAAGTGGGAGACACACCCACAAACCACCTCCAGCTCAGCCATATAATTGGCGGCATGGCCTCTCTGGTTCTTGATTGAACTGCTTAACAGCCACGACCCCAGATTCTCAGAAACAAATCTCAAAACCCAATCTCAAATGGCTTTTGGCAGAAATGCGTCCTATCCCTGCAGTAGGTTACCAGCGCTGGGCCACCCCAGGTGGGAATAGGTTTCTTGCCTTGGCCTGTTCCCCCTAGTGGCCTGGTGGCCACATCCTCCAGAGGCCACTGGACAATCAGGTTTGGGCCCGCAATGATGAGACACATGGGGCCTCATGGGATGGGGGTGGAGCCGGCCATTTTCTCCCCACCCCAATGAGACCCTGAGTCACCGCCCATGAACGGCCTCTATAGCTCCTGATCAAGCTGCTTAATGACCATGATCCCAGAGACTCAGAAACAAATCTCAAAACCCAGCGGCTTTTGGCAGAAATGCGTCTGGACCCTGCAGTAGATTACTGTCACTGGGCCACCCCAGGGGGGGAAAGGGCACTGTCCTTCCAACTGCTCCCCTTTGGCGGCTCAGTGACCACCATCCACCAGAGGCCATTGGACAGTCAGGTTTGGGCCCACAGTGACAAGATACGCAGGGCCTCACAGGATGGGGGTGGAGCCAGGCCTTTCCGCCTCATCCCAACGAGACCCAGAGTTGCTGCCCATGAACAGCCTCTCTGGCTCCTGATCAAACTGCTTAACGGCCATGATCCCAGAGACTCAGGAACAAATCTCGGAACCCAGCAGGTTTTGCCAGAAATCCCTCTAGATTTAAGTGTTAAAAAATCAAAATTTCAAAATCGCATGGCCACTACTGCAGCCATGCGACATCATTTGTTATTCATAACCAGCAATAGAACACAAATTGTCTACTGTTGCCTTTTCAGCAGATCTGAGTGTTGGGGCAAAATCTCAAATAATAATGGTGGGTCTGGTGTCAAAATACTGAATGTGATCAAAGTAGAGAGAGAGAGTAATGTGGAAATCATCTGCCTCACAGGTAGAGGGAGGGTATGGGATGGAGGTATACTGGGGTGTGTGGTGGTGGAGAATGGGCACTGGTGAAGGTATTAGTGTTTCATTGTATGACCAAGACTTAAACCCGAACGCTTTGTAACTGCTTCCACGGCGATTCAATAAATAAAATTATTAAAAAAATTTAAAAAAAGTAAGGTGGAGTTCATGCCCAATTCAATGAGCTAATCAGTGGCTGAATAAATAGCAGAACTCCTACATAAAAAAACAAACAAACAAACAAACAAAAAACAAGCTGAGTGTTCCTAAATAGCGAAAGACAACATACAATGCAGTTTTAGTTATTGATGCATGGTATAACCTGAGAAAACTTCTTTTAACATAGAAACTACAAAAAAGAGTTATCTTGCAAAATGTTTAGTAATTTGGTAAATTTTTTTCATAAACAGATTTAGACATGCAATCTTTAAATTAATTTCTCAAGTTGATTATAAGTTTGGCCTTATAGTGAATTTTGCCTAGTTTAGCTAGTTTTGGTCCATGGATTTAGCTGATCCATCAGCTTCAAACTCCATGGAGTCCTTGCCAACATCTTTGCATGATTTATTAATTTTTTAAAATTTTTATTTATTTATGTATTTGGCGTTACTGTGTTTGGCATATTCAATACATCACGGGTGGCTTGCCAGGCTCTGCCGTGTGGGCGAGATACTCTTGGTAGCTTGCCGGGCTCTCCAAGAGGGGCGGAGGAATCGAACTCGGGTCGGCCATGTTGGCTGCGTGCAAGGCAAACGCCCTACCACTGTGCTATCGCTCCAGCCATACCCATCTCTCCACCAGTGACCATTTCCCACAACCACGGATCCCAGTATCCCTCCCACCCACCCCCCATCCCACACTGTCTCTGTGGCAGGGCATTCCCTTTTGTTCCTCTCTCTCCTATTGGGTGTTGTGGTTTGTAAAAGAGGTAAGCCTGATTTTCAGGGAAAAATGTTGGATGATTTACTTTCCATTGATCACTTTGTATATAAGGAGATGTCTCACGGCCGCGTAAGCCATTTGGAATAAAAGTCCTGGTTCCTGCATGCCCGAGCTATGCTTGGAGACGCTCATGGTCACCGGGTTCCATCTGGAGAAGGCGGGATGTGGCACCTACCCCATCTGGGACTCCAGTGCTGGGGAGGGGCCGGTTGTGGGCATGACTTCCAGAATCAGAGGTTACCTGGTAGCCAGGGGAGTCCCGGCAGTTTGGAATAAAAGTCCTGGTTCCCGCATGCCTGAGCTATGCTTGTGGAGGCTCATGGTCACCAGGGTTCCATCTGAGCATTCAGGTTTACCTTGCACCAACACTGCCTATACTACACAAATATTTACATTGACTACTCTGGATCAACTTCAAGGATTTTCCTCAATGATACTAAATTATAGGCAATTCCTCCCTACTAAAGACTCAGTGCAATTTTTTTGTCCCTTAAGATGACCAGATTGCCCTCCTGGCAATTTGTGGAAGAGAATATGCACTAGTTAAGTTGCAGGAAGTCTGCTTAATGAGTTATCTACTCCAAATACCAGTAGCAGTCAATTTGACAAACCCAAATGGGAAGGAAGATTTCCCTCTACATTGTGGTTTTAGTTGTGATGTTCTGAAATCTCAATTCAACCAATAACAAGTTCTGACCTCTATCTATATCATATATCTTACCACCTCCTTAGCAACCTCATTGTCTTACTAATACTCTTTGTCTTTTTCTGTTCCCAAATAACCTGTCACTGTCACTGTCCTCCCACTGTTCATCGATTTGCTCGAGCGGGCCCAGTAATGTCTCCATTGTGAGACTTGTTGTTACTGTGTTCTGGCATATCGAATACATCACGGGTAGCTTGCCAAGCCTTGCCGTGCGGGCGCGGTACTCTCGGTAGCTTGCAGGGCTCTCCGAGAGGGGCAGAGGAATAGAACCTGGCTTGGCCTGGCTAGCTGCACGCAAGGCAAATGCCCTACCACTGTGCTATCACTCCAGCCCTCCTAAATAACCGTACCAGTCTTAATCTCAAATAGTACCCTTTCTTAATTCCATATCTTCTAGCTGGCACCCCTCCATTTACAATATCAAGTTCCCTGACAATCTCGGAATAGTTTATTTATTCATATGGTCATCAAACAAAACTTTTTGTATCGTAATGAAAGTCCACATCATTTGTAGTTTTAAAACACACCATTTTATTACACAAACATATCAATAAAGTCACTATACCATGTTCCATCATACTACTTCTAAACAATTAAATGTGTATCCAAACACACAATAAAACACACAGAGATTCAAACACAGACACTCACATAATAGGTTTTAAAAAAACTCTAGGCAGAGTCTATATTTATTCTTTTATTCTTATATGGCCAACCCTTTTAGCTAGTCTTGACAACAAACCATGTTACTATTCACAATACCTTTTTCCTATTTTAAAACATCACATTACTTTTTCCAAGGGCAAAACTTTAATGTAGTCACTTAAAAAGTCTAATTCATCATTTAAGGTATTGTGAAAAATTAATTTTCAAGTACTTAAAGATCTCTCTAACGTTTCCCTACTTATTTCAAAAAAACTCACATCCCAAATAAATTACTCTAAATAATCAAGTCTTGAAATTATCAGGTAAAAATAATTACAGTTAAAGATGATAGATAGATAGATAGATAGATAGATAGATAGATATACTTGGTTAAATACAGTATTGGATAACTGTGATGAGTCCATGTTTTCTTAACTCTATGTCAAAGCAGTGATAAGCTTAATTTTTGCCTTTAATGTGTGATCTCATAAATTATTCCAAAAGTCATTAAAACATCTCACTAATATATCAAACTCTATATTGTACAAACATGTCTACAAAGAGTACCACCTAAAATTAAAGTTGGTGGTTATTCTTTCAGTACAAAACTACATCCTTGGATAATTCAGTAAAGCCATGTACACACAAAAATATATGCATTGTATTGTACTACTTTTTAGTGATAAACATCATTCCTGCTTGTGACTTCAAATGAGAACAATGATAATATTGATTCACTATTTGAGGTTGTATTTTGGGGGCAACATCTATAATCTACTGTTAACAAAGTGATTTAAATGAGTTGGAAGACTTAAAAAATTACACCAAATAACTATAGTCAAATGATTTTTGAATATATACATCTAGAATATTTAAATAGCTGTTTGAAATATGGTAGATGATGATAACGTTTCTTCAGATTTCCATTAACCAGAATTGCTGTTATTTTGTTAGCACATTTCAAATGCCTATTTTGTTTCTAAATTATTTTATGGTTTAAGTAACTCATAAAAATAACCTGAAAATTAGCTTTGTAGAAAGAAATGTATACAATGCAGTGAGGAGTTATGTGTGTTAAAACATTATAGTTACTTACTTTTTTCCAAAGTTATATTTTCAAAAATCTTTTCAAAGACCTATTGTTTTCTTGTCAATAGTCACATATCATCATAGGTTTCTATTTTACCATTCCATTACGAAATAGAAACATTGAATCAAGCTATGTTATTTTAAAATTTTCTTCTATATTATGTTTTCATGTACCTTGAACCTGTGTAATCCTTAAATTAGTCGATTTTATTATTCCATAATAATTGTAAAAGCTTTAAAATTATAGCAAAGATAATTATAGCTTCATATTCTGGGTGTACACCATCTGTCCTTTTACATAAATTAATTGGACTATACTAAATGATTATGTCTGTATGAATGTAGAAGCATGTGATTTAAAGTTGTTTGATTTGAGAATCAATTTTAATAATTACCATTACATAAATTTTATAATATGGTAAAATATAGACTTATAATGATTTGTCTTATGCTACACTATTCCAAACACCCATGTCCATAAATATTAACCAGAATCTAAATAAAAATAGAAGAAATAATAAAATAAAATTTAAAATGAGCAAATGGAGGAAATAAAATTTTTTATTTTATAGGCATTAAATAAAAAGCCTTTCCCGTCTCTATGGGGACAGTATGTTGAAAATATTCCCCACAATATCACAAATTTCTTTTCTACTTCCTCTGTACATTTATGAATGCTACAAATATATGTTGTATATATTTTCTATATATCCAGTGGTATATACACATACACACTTTTATTCTTCTGCTCATTCAATAAAATGCAGATCAATCTGCATAGTAAATAATTGAAACATGTTTATTTTCCTTAAATGATATGCATGTACAACTTCTCACTCCTGTGCAAAAATGCAAAAATATCATACAGATTAATATTGTCTCTCTCTAAAAAAATCACTTGTTTATGCTTTAGGTTTATGTTGCTTACAAATAAATTATGAAATATAGTTCATTCACAAATTGAAAATAATTACAGTGTTTTTATAACAAGGCATTGCTGAGGTTTTATATTGTGGCATTCCTGAAGCCATCGTCTTTCAAAACAAAGACATCAATAAGTTATAATTATTTCTTGATATTTGCACTTTTAATTTACTTATATGAAACATGTCATTACAAATCTAACACTCATGCTAATCAAATAGTGTTTTATAGAATATGAATCTTTCTGTTTTGTTTCACTTTTCTGATATGTTTTCCATAGAGCAATCAGGAAAGTCTGTTGAAATTTCTGTTCTAGAGCATTTCTGGAAAGTTTCACCCAATAAAAAATATCAAGGAAATAAGTGAGGCAAAATTGAAAAAGAATAATTTTAGTGTTTGCTCAGAAGAGATAACAGCAAATGCAAGAAGTGTTTAGTATTTTTCCTAATCCTTTGGTATTTGAAAATGGTATAAAATGTTCAGTTATTCAAAACATTGATTATACTCTTCCATTAAATATCAGTTGTGGTCCTCCATTGCTCATGTTGTCTGTCATTTCCTGTTATGAAAATAAAATTAATTAATCAACATTCAGAGTAAGATATAAATTTTGTTCATGTGTTTTGCATAACAGAAATTTCAGTCCTTTGAAAAACTTGTTACATTTGGGGGAAGGCCAAAGATTGAAAATTGTTGCATGTAAGGAAATGAAATTTCATGGTATCTTAGAGCACATAAAAATCCTGAAGTGACAATCTGTTAGACCTAAGACCTAAATCTTTCTATCCACAAAAGCAATTCAGTCTCTGGTTCCTCATCTTTTTTTTGGATAGACCTCATCAAGAAGGAAGAGGGTATTATAAGTCCAAGTTTTCCCAATCACAGGCTCCTCCACAGAGCATTGAAGCAAAGTGCTAAGAGAATTTAGAGCTTATCTTTGACTCTATAGAAAAATGTGTGGTCTTTTTCCTAAGAACTGAAAAGCCCACAAGGAAATCATTATTTTTCTTGTTTATAACTATGGATCACTAATAAACCACTATGAGGAAAATTGATTTTTAAGGACACTGCCACTCACAGTAAAAACAAAACAAAGTAAACAGTAAAACCTCTTAACATTTTTTTGTAAGTGATCAGTGACTAAAAAAAACTTAATGGGAAATCAATGAAAATTTAGGCATAAAGGATGAACTAACATAAAAAGTTTCATTTTCAATGTTTAGAAATATATTCATTTCCCCTGGTTCAATTAAAAAAAAAAGAAACATGTTCATTAGAGAAAAAAATTACACGATTTGAATTCAGTTTTATTAAACACTAAATTCTACTCTACACAATAAAAACTAATGAAGAGTTGTGACTCCCTTCACAATTATGAATTTTACCATACATATTATAAATATTATTTAGAAAAAAAAAGCAACATCTTTGTACATTTGAGCAAGCCTATTTGCAAAAATGTGGTAAATAATTCAAATAGAAAATTTTTTTCAATTATCTCGTACCTATCATTTTATATAGAATTTTTAGTTTTGGAGAACTAAAGGTAAAAAATAAAGCATTTTTTTTTGCAAATTAGAAGTACTTCCAAATGTTTATTTCAAATGTGATAAGGTATTAAGCCTCATTTTTGTTTCAGAAAATTCAATAGAGTGGATGAAAGGGGGGAAAAGACACGTATTATTTGCATTAAGTAGTTTTGAAAAATCACTTGGGAGGATCACTTGGGGAAATTGAGGTAGAAATTGTCTGCTTTTGAATTTCTCTTGGAAATTATATTGTCTCATGGAGAGTGGGATAGTTTCCTTAAAGACAATTCTGAGAAAGTAGATGGAATGTTTTGGCGATGCGTTTCAACACCTGTCTCAGGCAAAGTGCTCTGGTCCTTTCAAGCACTAGGGTGGTGTCTTGAACTTGAGCATTTGTTATAATTTTCCCAGTAATCACCAGAATTTGTCTAAAATCTCACATATCTCTAGGTAAATGCTTTCCTAGAGAAAAGAAACTCCTTTGGAGCCAGCAGTCTACTTCTATGGGCTTGTGATGCTCTGGTTGAATGAGAGACTGCCAGAGACAATGGTGAAAGTAGCTTTTATAATACTGAAGTGACTGGGATGAGATAAAGTTTATAGAAAAGAAATCTGATTTAATGCTTCATTTAAGGGTTCATTGTTGATGACAAGGTAAGTAAAAGTCATTCTACAAAATTGATCTTTAACAATACTTGCACCTTTGTTACTCCTTCTGGGTATAAAACACAATTTTGGAATGATGCTATAGAAGAGTCTCAGGTGTTTTTTACTTCTTGTAAAATGATGGTGTATCCAAAAATTAATTTAAAACCTATTTTAATAACAAACCTAATATATGTAATATATCTGTTATTGAAGGCCTTTTTTAAAAAATTCTGGCAAAATTATTGGTAGGAAACAACAGTGAAAATTACCTTTAAAATGCAAGGGTATCTTCAGATTATTTGCAAATAGGCATGTCTAATTTCATAAGAATGATATACTCTAAATTTGAGTAGAAACAAATATGACTATTTGCAGATTATTTGGGGCCATAACATCTATGTGGTATTGAAATTATATCATTTAACCAAAGCAAGAATGATTTTTTAACAATAAAATATAATAAATACATTTGAAATGTAGCACAGCAGATGACTTTACAAGAAGGAAGTTTTCATTCAGAAATTTTACTGTATTAGCGTCAGGCTTAGGTAATCTGCTCATGCAATTTTGACATGAGGGAGATGCAGTTTGTCTTTGTAAGACACATCTATTATTAAAAACAAAATTCTGGCCTGTGAATGATGATACTGGTCAAAATTATGATGTAGCAGAGAAGAAAGGAGTCATGAATCATCCAAACAGAAATGTGTTTGGATGGTTACAGGCAGGCTGAATATTTCACATATTCAGCCACTTTTCAAGCTGCAAGGCTCTGCCATGTACGTCTATGTCAGGTCCTCAAAGTAGGTCTTAGGAAATCACTACTTTGAAGAGCAACATCACAGCATCAGTTCAGACTGATTTGCTGACATCATGGCTTCCTAGAAGATGCAGCTCTTGCTGTCGTGACATTACAACATGGTAACTCCCTAGAAATCAGCGTACCTTGTAGGTAACTCTGGTGTCGGGGGCACCACCGGACAGCTGGGCAAGTCGGTTATTTCAATAGCCCTCAATCTCTAATATAAATATAACAATCATACAATAAATATTGCAAAAACATATACACAAAAATAAAATCACACTAGCATAAAAATAGAGCATGAAAGAGACACTGTCTAAATATATAATGGTAATCTACTTTTAACAACATATTTCTTTAAGTTACTAGCCCTGGTATTTTACTCTCAAATCTTTATGGAAAGACATGCAGAGATTTGTTCAACACTGCTTTCTTGGAACAAATCTACTTTCATTTATATGTATAGATTTCATATAAAATGGAAATATATAAAAGTACACAATAAATGTCTTTTCCTTCAGATTAAGGATATAAAGAAACAAAGTGATAAATCTTGCAGCTCATTCTTGGATGGTTACATAGTTTTATTTCCAAGATATAAAGATAAATATGATGTGGCCATAGTCAATTTTATAGGTGCTTTAGCTTTTTCTTATTAAATGTAAGTAGTTGGAACTGAGATAAAAAATTTTGTGGTTGGAATAGATATCTCTCTGTACCATTTGTCCTTTTATGCAATAAGTATAACTGTTTGAAGGGGTTTCTCAAAACAATTATGCAAGGAACATTGTTTAAGATACAGGCAAAGCTACCCAAATATGCATAAAATTTAGATGAGAATTAAATGAAGCTTTATGTGGATTGTACTATCTGCACTGATAGGCAAGGCTTTTTGTTGCCTAATTAAAAGGTCCCTTTATGCTGGAAAATCTAATTTACATAATCAAATGCATCTACTTTCAAGGATAAGGGATAAACTAGAAAGAGGAATTCATCCTATTTCTATAACTGGTGTTACTGAGGAGAGAGTGTATTTAGTTTACATGTTTCTCCTTAGTATAATACACAAAAATCCATATTTATAAGGCTTTCAATATTTTATAGAATGCTATTTTAGGAGCTTGCTTTGTATAGATAGTCAGGCTAACAATTATATTGAAACTAGGTGTACCCAGCATTGCAGAGTAAAGAAATAATTAAAGTTTTCTATTCTTAGCCTAACAGGCCAACATTTCCAAAAGCCAATTTCTAAACTTCTCCTCTAAAACTGATACACTAACAGTAGACTGTAGTCATCATATGATAGTGATGAGGGGAAGAAGGTAGAATACTCACTTTCTCAGCCATTTCATGGGAGTGATGCAAGGAATGCTCCCTTTCCGAAAACATCCTCCTCTGTTCATAGCTGGCAAGTCGACATGTGAGCCATGAAGAAAGGGTGCAGACACCAATCCCTATGCACGCAAGAGACATGGAGGCAAGATGCAGGGGGTAAAGGGAAGAGGTCTTCTTTGTCACTGCCCGAAGGAACTGAAAATTCAGGATTCCCCCAATGAGTCCACAGATACAGCAGGCAGAAAAGAGGATCATCTGTTAAGAACAACGAGGGAATGGTAAGGTTAGAAGAAATGGTAAAAAATGGAAGCAAAACTGATTCTTACACAGTATACTGTGCACATCCAGGACTGCTGATGTACAATAAATTGAAGGTGTTGGTAGCACTTCTAGAGAACACGAACTGTCCTGAAAGCAAGTGTCATTGAAATCTGACTTAATGGAGATAGTATAGACCATAGTATTGGATAAAGTAATAGCTGATTATTTATTAATAATATATTTAGAAATCTAACACATTCATTAATATGAAGCCCAGAGTTTAAGAAAACTCTAAAATAAACACAATCTAAAGGCAGATTGAGATTTAAATAAATATTGATTATAATAACAATTAAATAAGTTTTATTTTTGATTGGGCTGGAGCGATAGCACAGCAGTAGGGTGTTTGCCTTACAAGCGGCCAACATGGCCGACCCGAGTTTGATTCCTCTGCCCCTCACGGGGAGCCCGGCAAGCTACCAAGAGTATCTCGCCCGCACGGCAGAGCCTGGCAAGCTACCCATGATGTATTCAATATGCCAAACACAGTAACAACAAAGTCTCCAATGGAGACGTTAATGGGCCCGCTCGAGCAAATCAATGAACAACGGTAGGACCATGATGTTGTATTTTTGATTTGTGGGCCATACCCAGCAGTGCTAAAAACTTATTCCTGGCTCTATTTCTCTGGCTACCAATAATAGGTTTTGTTTTATTTTTCCTTTTTCTCAGGGCCTCCATCTGCCTCTGCTCAGGTGTCACTCCTGGTGGTGCTCAAGTGATTATATGGGGTTCCAGGGAACAGACCCAAGTTGGCTATGTGCAAGGCAAGTGCATTAACAACTGTACCATTTTTCCCACCCCAGCTTTTTAAAAAGTATCTATCATGTGTTATTCATATCTGTACTACCATGCTAAGGAATTCTATACGACTATCATCTTAATTAACCCAGCCAGCAACACCTTTAGGGAAATAGAATTACACACTTTAGAAAATGAATAGAGTAGATAGTAGTAGAATTTAGAGACTAAATCCATAATTTTTTTACTACCGATATCTAATTAACTTTTTAATTAAATTACCATGGAGCTTTATAGTCCTCTGGCTGCATGTGCTTAAGAAATTTGGTTAAATCCATACTTTATTCAAACATATTTTTATTGTGTGTGCATATATTTTCATAACAGTCATCTCAGGGGTACTCAGTGAATTGGCCCTGCCTGTATCTTAAAAGTCTTTGTTACTCTGTAGCACATAATAGATCCTCTGAAAGTACAGTTTGATTGACTGCTTTGGAAAAACACAGGATGTAACTTTGGATCCTACCAATAACTTAATCTACATCTTTTTTAATAAAGCCTGAGGTTTATTCAATCTAGATATAATAGTATCCCTGAAATTTTGATGCCCAATGCATTCAATGTACTAAATATGCTGTTTCAAATATATTTAAACAATTATATCAATAGCTTTAATAATTTTACTCTACATTTATATCCTGTATAAATAGCCCAATTAACTCATTAATAGATACTTCACAGTATGATACTTACTTGACTATCCAGCCTCTTCTTCAACTTTTCTGGAACAATTTCTATTCCTGTCCCCTCTCCGTATAATGTCTATCCTCCCCCCATGACTCTTGAACTCCTGCATAAAAGGTCAAATCTAATTCTAACTTCCTCAGATATTCTCCCTGATGTTGCATATTTCCTCCTTTGTTATACTTTTATAGAGCAACCAGCTATGTAACTTACTTTTGGCATTTTCTTTTTCATTTTCAGTTATTATTTGGGGCTGACAGTGGGATTTAGCATGTGCTAAATGAGTCCTTAGCATCTGTTAGATCCCTAAGAAAGGCAGCAGTTAACAATACAAAGCCAAAAAACTCATAGATTTTCCTCCTGAGTAGAGGTCAGTCTTCTAGGAGAAAATTTCCAACATTTCCCCTAAGACATGGCAAAGAATGAGGGATGAATGGATTCGTCCTTGGAGGAGGGAGGAAGAATATTTAAGCCCAACTAGGGATTTCATAAAAACAAAATAAAACCCTCAAAAAACCAGGGATTTGATTTCAAAAAAGTCTTCCTGGATGTGATATCACATCAAAGGGCATGCAGTTTACAGCAGAGACTAAAGCCATTTTGAAGATGTGTGAAAGAGCAATGAAATAGCACAGAGCCAGAACAAAAAACACTCCAGGTTGGTAATGCTGTTTCTCTGATTAGATTCATCAATTTGTTTTGTATTTGTATCATTGTACTTATCACCAAGACAGAAGTCCTAGTAGTGAAAGGGTATCATCTTCCTCTAGCTAAGAAAATAAAATATTTATAATTGATTATCAAGTAATTAAGTGAAACATGTAGCTCCAATTTTAATAATACTTTAATTTGTTTTCCAATTGAAAATATGTTTAGATGGTGTGAAATTTCTTGGGATTATATTTTGATGCTTATTCATTATAAGAAAATATGGAGGGACTATCTAGCCTTCAGATAATGGATCACTGTTAATTAATAAAATAAATGGCAAATCAACTGTATTGATATAAGAAAATATCTCTCCTACTGATGTTCTCATTAATTATTTAAAAATAATATTTTTTAACATGTGCAGACAAGAGTATTGTCATTTAAAAATTAAAAACTTAAAATCTGTAACTTGCCCTCAAATAAAACTTTTTCGCATTTCTCTGGACAGGATATTCTAGATTTCAGAAGTATTTAAAGCAGAGAAATTTTCACACATTTTCACTGCAGGATCAAGACAGACAGCTAAATATTGTCTATGAGAACCTCTGATAGATGACACAAGAGGAAAAAAGTGACGATAGTTTCTAAAAAACTCAGATTCTATGATTTTCTTCTTTTACAGAGTATAGAAGAATTAGAAAGTAAAAAGACACTAGTGCTTTTTAAAGAATTATTTCCTCTATCATGCCCACTTCTCTTCCCTTCTTAGGAACAGAATCTTTATGTCAATTCAAAATTTGTACCTTGAAGTCCTAATTCCACATCTAATATTACTTGAAATTCTATCATTAGAAGATAGTTCGATCATAAGAGTGAAGGCTTCATTCCCTATGGACCACGTGAGGGCATTCTCAGAAATGTGTGACCTAGAAGGGAATTTATCAGATCCCAGCTATTTGCAACTCTGAACCCCAGGACTGTAAGTCTATAGTAGTTGTTTTAGCAGCTCAAACTGACTTAGATATTTCCCCTCTTCCACTTTCTTCTCTCTTCTTCTTTCTTCCTCCCTTTCTCCCAATACCTTTCATTCATCCATCCAAGGTTTAAGTAATATTTAACCACGTAGTAATAAAGTCTTGTAGAAGAAAAGTACGGAAAGAATGAAGGTGATAACTAATGAGCTTCAGGAGAATATTATATAAACTACAAGCCTGGAGAAAAAAGTTATTTCAGAGAGGTTTTTGTTGTTGTTGTTGTTGTTTGTATGCTTGCTTGTTTTTGCTGGTGGTGGGTGAGTAGGGGTGGGCAAGCAAACAACTTGGTGGAACTCAGGGTACTTACTCTTGGATCTGTGGTTAGGGATCACTCCTAGAAGAACTCAGAGAACCATAATGGATGCCACGATGAAACCTGGGTTGGTCATGTGCAAGGCAAGTGCCCTGCCATGTAATATTGCTCTGTCTTCCCAAAAGTTTTTAAGGTAAGGTAAAGGTAAAGGCCCTCCCGTTGATCGTCGATTTGCTCGAGTGGGCCCAGTAACGTCTCCATTGGAGACTTTGTTGTTACTGTGTCTGGCATATCGAATACTCTCGGTAGCTTGCCGGGCAGCATTTAAAAATTCTATCTCAGTGTCTAAAGAAATGGAGGACTGTACTTTTTTTTCCAAAAAATGTTCTCAAAGAAACTATGTGATTAGGGAAAAGTGAGTTAAACAAACATAATTGTAATGTGACCCAGTCCCTGAAACCTGCAGCTATTTCTACTGTACTCAGATTAATAAGCACACATTAAAAAAATGCATGCATGCATACCTCAGCACCTAGAAATTTTCTTCTAACCAATATGTTATATAGAAGCATGTTATACCCACCCAAATCCAGGTTAATAACCACATACTCTATGAAAATATTTATGTTTGCATTTATATTAATGAAATTTTAAATATTTGGGGAATTGATTGTCACTATAACAACATAGATGCTGATAGTGACCCCTACGCACAAAAACAATAATAAAATTTTCAGGAGTAAACACTATGGGGTGTGGCCCCAAATCCCAAATCAAATCAAACAAAAACAACACAGCTGTCTTGCTGCATTATAAAGTTAACCTCATAGTCAGATAAAGCTAGTAATTCTTGGATTCAGATTCATATTTAAAAAGGTAGGTGCCCCATGAATTTAAGCTGTATCTTTTTTAGTGAACTGAAGGATTCATGTGTTATCTAAGAGTCTATAAACTGGGAAAGCAGAGCATGTCAACAACAGCAGTCATTAAGGATCCATATGTATGTATTTAAAGAATATGTCAAAGTCTTCTGTTCATTGGGGCTGGAAAGATAGCACAGCGGGTAGGACATTTGCCTTACACATGGCCAACCCGGGTTCGATTCCCAGCATTCCATATAGTCCCCTGAGCACTGCCAGGAGTAATTTCTGAGTGCATGAGTCAGGAGTAACTGCTGTGCATGGCCGGGTGTGACCGACACCCTCCTCCCGCAATAAAAAAAAGTCTTCTGTTCATCATAGTCTCTAATAATCTTGATGGATTTCTTTGAAAATAAAAATTTCGGATTTAATTGTCAATAATTTTTTACTTAGTAGTAATGCTCAGCATATGAAAGTGGGCTGTTATCATTCCATTTTTTGACTTTATTACATATCAGATATTTCCATGTATAATATAAACAAAACAAAAACTTACGACCAGTCCAGATTTTTTTTTGGCACACAGTATTCCACATATGCCACAAAGAAGAAACTGAAAAGAAAAAGAATAATGATTATTTTCTATCCAGTAATAAAAGAATCTTTAGTTTTAGCGTATTGTTCATTCATAACATTTGCTCCAGGGAAGTTTAAATTTATACATTCCCATAAAAAGTTTCAAAGAAAATACCTCATTCTAAAATAGGAAGGAGCAAAACTGTAAATACTAGTGAAAATCTGTCTTTGCCAGATTAATATAGATGATTGTGGAATTTCAGCAAAATTTGAGTCAGTATCACCATGAGGCAAAATTAAAAAATAAATTAATTTAGGGTTTTGTTCCTCCTGTAATAAAATACTCTCTTCTTAACCCTTCTATCTAATCAGGGAGAAAAGTGTGATATAATGTATTTGTTTATGTCAGCAATTAGAAATCCGATAGCTTCACTAGACGTAGAAAACTCAGCACAAATGAAAATATAAGACCCAACACAGGGAGATGTTTTTCTCTTTCTAGCTATGGAGATAAAATTGTAACCTCCTCATATTACCAAAGATATTCTAACATAGTCCTTGAAGCTAGTTAGAAAAACTCAAAAGGAAAGCAATTGATGGCATATAATTTCATGTTAGCAATCAGATTGGTTATATATTAGTTTGCAAAAGCAACTGCATCAAATCATCTATCAATGACTCCTTTTAACACATTTATTACCACAAAGTAGTAAATTGTTTAATTTTTATAGAAACAAATAGGGTCATTTGAATGCACATTTATACATATCTTTGACTGGTGGTATACCTTATGAATAAAATAATATGTTTATAAATAAATAATAAGCACACTAGGGCTTTTCAGATTTGCAAGAAAATCTTGAATGTGGCTTGGTTTCTTTCCATTTGATTTCCCTAAAATATTGTTATCTCAAGTTACAATTAATAAAATGAATAGTTTTGAGCACTTCACATTTGTACATATTTAAAAATATATACATCAAAATATTCTAAAGATTCTCTGAAATTCCTTTGAGAAGCAAACTTTAATTTTTCAAACAATATTTTTAAACAAATTTTAATTAAAAAACAATGAAGGATGGAACTTTCTCTTTGCAAGAGAACTTTCTGTACAAGGGAATTAAATGATTATAGGGCTGGTAATAATGCATCAAGAGAGATAAAGGAAGACCAGATGACTTTTCAATTATAGGGGAAATAATTGAATCAATTCAATAAGTGGATTTAAGATAGTGTGTTAATCTTTCCTAACATCATGATATTAAACTGTCTATAAAACAATTTAACTACTTAAATGCATACAACTTTATAAATGTGGCAGTAAAAAAAAGAAAATTAAAAGCTTATAAGTCTAGAGAAGTGGGATTATCTAAACATAACGCCAAAGCCATAGTTAAAAAATAAAACACTTGTTAATACAAAAAAAGTGTAATTTTGATACTTTTAAATCTCAAAGGCAAAATAGATCTGACAGAATATTTGAATTACAGTGAAACCATGGGGAGATAAAAACAGAACTCAATGTAGCTTGAATATTTGCCTGTTTCAGAAGCCTCAAAAACACTATTTCTGAATGATCATTTCTCACCTTAAGCCCCTTTTCATCCCTACCTCCATGTGTGAGACCCAGAGAATCTTGTCCTCAGATGGACTCTCCCTTGCTAATCTCATTTTACATCTTTTAGTACTGTGTTCAAACTGTTCCAGCTTGGACCACTCCTGTACCTCTCAGGGTTTCCAAGCTACAGATCAAAGCCTCAGCCTGTCCTTAGCCTTGTTTTGCTGACTAACCCATTATTCACCCTGAAAGTCCATTCACCCAGAACTCATTCTTGAAATAATTTGAAAGCAGTGCAGTTCTGTGTTCCTTGGATCTCTTTTGAAATCTATAAACATTGTCATTATTTATTTACAACACAGCCGAAGGGGACTTCAGACCCATAAGCAGAATTCTCTGTCCAGTCAGTTTTTTAGAACATTGAGATAGCAATAAAATTGCTGCTTTCTATTTACCTACTTTCCTGAGCTTGGGGCTTGGGAGGGGAAATGGTAGAAAAGGAAGGAAATGAAACTTTTTTTTTCATTAATCTCTCAGACATAAAGGTAAATGCAGTGCATATTACTTCTGTTAGAATATCCAATATCTGCCTTCCCCTGCGATCCGAGAAAAGATGAACACATGAATAAGAAGTAAGTAAAACTACGGCATCTGAGGGGACACTAAGAATTGTGGCTCCTGTTTAGCCATCACAATGTGTAGAGAAGATAAATGGTCACAAAGAAACAATAAATAATCTTTCATTTCAATGACTTCCTTATTCCAAGTTAGAGCACTGAGAATTTCAAAGATGACTTAATTCAATCTTTACAGTTCATATTTGGGGTACTATTGTTTCAGAGAGGCTTAATCACTTGTTTAAGGTCACTCAGTGTAGTAAGTCAACCAACTAGGCTAAGGTTTTAATAGGTATCTTAGTTAATTTATTACTAATAATATAATGGGATGCTTTTCAGAAGGAATTTTCATTGCTAATTTTATGTGCAGTATATTTAAAAAATCCAACCAAGTGTTAAATAAGCACTTAATCACTTATAATTGCTCCCTTTACCCTTGTTATTGCTAATTTTTGTGGTAGCAAAACCAGAAAATTTCTCTATTACAAACTTACATTTAACACAAAAATTTCAAGACTAAGCATCCATAAACACAAAACATTAATATGAAAAATAATATGTACACCTATATCCAACTAAAAACTGTTTACAATAGCAATGATCTGAAACCAACACTTGTGACCAACAAGAAATGAGTGGATAAATAAATTATGGTACATATGTACAATCAAATACTATTCAGCTATGAAAAATGTGAAATTTTGCAGGTTGCTGCAACTTAGAGGGAATTGGAATGCATGATGTGAAGTGATTCCAAACGTAAAAGACAGGCAAAAAGTAAAAGACAAAATGACACATGGAATATTAAAAAAACAAAGAAAACAATTAGATAATCCCAATGCAAATAAACCTTAAGACATGATTCATAAAACTGGAAAGTGAGGAATCAAGGTGAGCAGAGTGGGGGAAGGATAATGGTAAAGAGACTGGTGCTGTAGTCGCACAACTGTAAAACAACCACTTCAAAAGTGTTGAAAACAATGTATTCATTTAAAAATATTTTTAATCATTAAATAAAATAAACAAGATTATTGCAAAATTAATGCACTTATTATATCAGAGAATTTATTCTAATGCTTCAAATAATTTGCTCAACATACTTTCTTCAGAATCAAGATACTAAACAAACCTAAGAATAGTATGCAAAGAACGTTTTGGAAAATATGTATGTTATAAAAATTAGTTTTAATACCCATTGCCTCTTTTGCAAACCACAACACCCAATAAGAGAGAGAGAACAAAAGGGAATGCCCTACCACAGAGGCAGGGGGGGATGTGGGGGATGGGGGGTGGGAGGGATACTGGGATCCATGGTGGTGGGAAATGGGCACTGGCGGAGGGATGGGTATTTGATCATTCTATAATTGAAACCCAAGCACAAAAATGTGTAAGTCTGCAACTGTACCTCATGATGTCTCACTATTAAAATTTTTTAATAAAAAAAGTTAGTTTTAATAAAGCAAAAATGATAATGGCATACATTTCCAGTACTATGTGCATTGATTTTGTAGATAGAGATATAGACATCCTAAATGGTATACAATTTTACATGAGAAAAATATAATTCCTGAGAAAATAGGATATTTTTGTGGTATTTAGAATAACTGGATGAGAAAATGCAATGTTTTAAAGAGGAAATGCCCTGATTAACCTTGGCCCCAGAGTATAGGATGGAGAAGGGAAGAAAGAATGGGTGGAAGGGGAAAAAAGACAGATGAGAAACAGAAGGGATGAGGTCAGGGTAATTAGGTACAAAGGCAGTGTTAAGGAATAGTAGAAGCCAATATCCAGGCCACAGAGTCAAAAACACTGAAATCAAGAGACCCAAATGTTGACAACTAAACTTTGAAAGGAACCAGTCAAGAGGGCAGATGGTGGGGGTGTTCGGGGGAGATATGGGAGGGAACCTGGGAAAAATGGTGGAGGGAAGATGACACTGGTAGTGAGATTGGTGCGCAACATTGTATGTCTAAAATTCAGCTATGGGGTTCTTGGTGATGAAAAATAAGTACTGGTGAAGGGAAAGGTATTTGATCACTGTATGACCGAGACTTAAACCTGAAAGCTTTGTAACTTTTCCCACAGTGATTCAATAAATAAATATGAGAAGAAAAAATAAATAAAACTCAACTATGAAGTTTTTTTTAAAATTGCAGTGGTTTCATTACAAAATGTGGAAAGAAAAAAATTAAAACTTATCCAAACTTAACGTATATTTAAATATAGTGAGAATAATTTACTTAGGTCTAACAGTAAAATAATATAAATGAAGAGATCTAATGATAGGGCATCAAGTACAGCTATGCAATAAAACTAATTAGCCCTGCTAGTAGAATTCATTCTGCTCTCATTTAGGTTAAGTTTAATAGATAACTAAAGGTGATTATAGGAGTAAGTAGAGCTGTTATGGAAACAGCGCTCTATATTTTGGGTGTATTTTGGAGCAGCCACCATGGCCATACTTAGTGATGAGGGCAGGAGATACAGAGCCTAAATGGAATCCAGGACTTTTCTATGCTAGGCCTGTGATCACATCAGCCCCCCAAATTTTTTTTAATTAAATGTGCACATAACCATCTGCTTTTGCTTATGATGCATAAAGATACAAAGATAGCGCTACCATCTTCACACTAAATAAGAAAGGATAAACCACAGACTAGTAAATTCTCCAGAGTTCATTAGAGAGCTGAGGATTTAAGCAATTAATTAAACCACAACTCAGACAGGAAAGAGGCCTCCAAAGAAAGTCTGGAGGCAGAGTTATGCCACCTCCCATATAACAGGAGAGAAAGGGACACTGGCTTTCTGAAACAGGGTGAGTGTATGGTGGAGGGTACAGAGTTCTACTTCTTCCTTATGCCT